AAAGAAAAGCCTTCTGCACGATCCAAAAAGTAGGCTTTGTAAAAAAATTACGTACGTTTCCATAAAAGTACAACGTTGCCGGCGCCAATTTTTACTAAATACTAAAGGATAGGAACATCGGAAGACAATGAACGCCAGGAGAAGAAGCTATCACTAGAAAGCAGAGTTCCCTCTAAGGCAGAATACCAGTGGCCAAGCTGTGGCCGTACCCGTTCGGGTCGGATAACACCCAGTTAGCCGCCCCCCCACAACCCCCCCAATCCACAAACTCCACCACATTGTTTGGCATATGTCGCGGCCCAGCGCGATGGCAACAAAGTATAGTGATGAAACGTCCCTGATAGTGCCTACCAGGGACGCATCCTCACGACAGTTGACTAAATCCTGGGAGAGGCGGCGACGCCAGGCATATGTCAAAGTTTCAATATTTAATCAATGCTTAATCACCTTGGTTAGTTAATCAAGAAGTTTTTTTGTTTTGTGCATACCAATCGAACTTAATCAAAGATTTAATTTAATCATATTGATGAACTAACGGCCTGATTGTTTATTGTTTGTGCATTCGGCCCATAGCTTTTGAATTGCATAAACTGAGACCGGGTCACACACAGGAAACAAAAAAAATATCTGGTCATCATATTCAATATATGGCTTTAAATCCTAAACATGCCAGATTCCGGATGATTTTCCTTCGTCCTTCTTGGATATATAGTGAATGGGCCTAGAAATTTGGGTGCTAACTTTCCGGTGTAGTTTTTGGTTGCATCCGATATAGTTTTATTTCGGAGCCAAACCTTACTCATTACTTAGTGCCTAGCTTAGTGCTATGTTCACGTTTTTTGTCATAACTTTAGAATTCCTTTAATTTTGCGATTCTGCCCTTTGTTTGAGTCGGATTCCTGGTGCTTCAAAAAGTGTATTTCCGTCAAAAAAAGTGGGGGGGGGGGTCATTTTTTACCCCAATTAAAGACCTCCCTTACTAACGTGCAAGTGGTAATGAATTGATTTTGAACAAAATTGTGACTTCGCTGAAGTTCCACTAGTGGCCCATTAGGTAGGTATGTCATTATATACGCATGAACGGACAGAAGCAACGATCTTCGATTTTGAAGCTTGTGAACTGAATTATAACGATCTAAGAGCATATATACATACACTTCGATTTCTTGTCCTATGCTTTGTTCCGTGACTCCATGGAGGCGCGCCTTTCGAGATGTGAATCTATGCTGTACAATCTTAATTGTTTGAACAATAAACCACCAGTACATGCATAAAACGTTTATTATCTTTGTACACATTGCCTTTGAAACAGATACATTTTGCACAATTTGACTGATTTGCGCTGTTACAGCATCAGAAAGAGAGAAACTGATAATAATTATGAAAATAAAGTCTTCGTGGCAAAATTAGATTAACGAATTAGGTACGCGTGTAAAACTCAAGAACTCATTCATTAATCGTATTATTAATTTCACTTTCCTATATTAACCCGCCTTTAAAACATAAAACGATCCAACGTAGTAAAAAACGAAACCATCTGCCGTTCGCTCATATAATCTCACGAAAATCTCGAATTAAAATAACATAATATCACATTATTTGAAGTTACTATTCCATAAGTTCCAGATGCTGCTAGATTTTAATATACGATCTCAATATATTTTATGTGTAATAACCCGCATCAATCTCGAATTGATATTATGTTATTATTCCATTCGCATATGAACGAGTTGACTGCAAAAAGTGTACGGCTTCATTAAATTAATGGCGCCTCTTGTAGGCTTTTATTTAGTATGATTAAAGAACATTCCAAACTTTTTCAATTCGGCCAATTTCCCTTTAGCAGTACAGAATTAGAACAAATAATCGATATTCATTCAAATGAAGATCGCCCAATTACTCATTTAAGGGGCGATCGCCCTTTCGCAATTAGCAGTTGGTCCAATTGAAGATGAGTAAGTAAATTGAATAATTGTATGTAAAATATTCGTGGGAATAATAAGTTGAACCGCAAATTAGTAATTTATTCGTGGAAGTAATACGAGTCATTTACAAATAGGTACAAATAGTGGAATGAATTACTGTGTTCATATTCCAATTTAAAATATTTAACTTCGTTGTCATCCTTAAAACGGGCAAAAAAAATTCTATGTGATTAAAACCGTTTGTCGGTGCCTGGGATAGCTTTAATTTTACCACACACATAGTTTTTGCTTCCTTCTGGTAAGAGAAAAGTTGCTCATGTATCTATTAAATGAACTTTTTTCAGTCGGGGGTTGAAACGAAATGAAATACTGGCTCTTGCAGACACGTGTGTTCTTTTTAATAATGCCATACGTACGATTCACGGCACAAATTTACAAATTTAGGCTAAACCACATGCCAATAATATATTTTCAACCCAATCAATTGAACCGACGCCAAAACGAGAGATTTATGCTAGATTGAAAATGTGTACTGGTCTAATTTTGAATGACCGAATTTTATTACGGTTTCTGTACTGGATGTTTATTTATTTATAATTAAAATTACTAAAAATAACACCTTACTTTTCAAGTTACGGGGGTAATTGAAAATTGTTTATGTTACACTTTACTACGTTACTTCTTATAAATAAACTAGAAATATTTCAGATATTTTTGTTACTACGGAAATATGTAAAATATTTTTAGCGTGAACTGGTCTAAAAAAGCTATGATCAGCTGCTTTAGAAATGTACGATAAACCCAGTATTAATTTTATTAATCCGCGTTCCATATTTTTAGATGGAGTTAAACGAAAATCTCGCGTGTCACTTTTTAAATTATTTTGAGGCAACATACGATTACGAGAGTATAAATTAGTTAAATACAATTCCAACTACAAAAAACATAATCAACATGTGTGGGTGCACTAAACAGTTCCGTGACCTCACAAATGTTAAGGTAAATTTTTTCACGCTAATTTATATTTAGAATTAAATAATAAATTTCTGTAATTTTGCAGCTGTTTTTCAGGTCTATTTTCTAACTGCAGTACACCAGGTGTTACGGAAACAATTTCGGTAATTAATTATAATTATCTCAAAAATCAATGTTGGTCATTCACGCAAAGGTAACAGAAACCACCCTCCATTTAGACGAAATTTATCTTCCACTTTTAAGAAGGGGAGCGCTGTTAATTAAACGTAATATATATTATTGTTTGTTCAATGCTTTTAGCACGATATATAGCCTATCGGTTTACATTTAATTAAAATATAGTCAGAGTCTCAAATGTGTAGTGTGTCATTAATCGTTTTACCCTTACATATATTAATATAGACAGAAAATTGTAACAAATTGACAAATTGTCTTATTGTAACGTAACACTTCATTTTAGACCTGTTTATTATTTTTAGATAGTCCCTCACTAATGCCACAAGAAAGAATCTTGCTTAGCATGGCGATTTATCACTTATTTATCAATTTTGTCGGTGAAACGGCGACACGCTATCGATCTAACTAATTCTTTACCTGGTGCTTTCCAGTGTTACGACGGAGATTATCTTACATTCAGAAGTAACGTATAAAACATGAAGTTTTGCATGTGGTAGGATCATAATCATAACCTTCTTGCCATAAAGAGAGAGTACCATGCAGAGTACAGCGTTTTAATTTTAGGGACTTGAAGTCTTTGATGGGTTGATCCGCAGTCTTCGTAAGTATGGAGAGCTTGATGATTTAGAGACCGTAATAAAAAACAATGTAGCCCAGATTGGCACGAAAGAGCTTAAAACTTACCTTCCGATAGCGATAGATAACTGTGTGCTAACTAGAGGATAACCAAGGCCCCCTCAGTGTTGGGTCTTGTCGTGGTTGGGGGGTTTGAGTGGTTCAAACAAGCCAACAGTCACCTCCAAACAATCCTCCTCTCATGAACCCCCAACCTTGAGTCAGAGGCAGGCTAGAGCTATCTCCGGTCAGGCGGACAAACGAGTAGGCGGATAGAAAAAAGAGGTCGGATGGCTCAACACCGACCCAATCGCCGACGAAGAAGGGAAAACTACAGCCCCAAACAATAAAAGGCGGGCCCAGTAAGGCTAGAGAACCGCGCAGCGATCATAGATACCAATGACCCTCTGGCTAGGCTTACGGCTAACCAGGCGGATATGGTACAAAGTCGCCTCGTCAAGGTTCTGGACCAGTATCTTTTCACCCTAAAAGGCGCTACACTAGCACTCATGTTGAGGGGTTGGAGGTACTCGGGCGAGAGATCTTAAGAATCTCGTGCGAAAATAGCCATTCCCTTGAGTGGTTGGCAACCTCCCGCAATTGTGGGAAGCTGTACACCTAAAGGTAGTGCAGGAAGACTGCCTTCCTAGACTCCGCAAGGTCATCTAGGTCTCGGGGGAACCTGACGACCTGGTGGGGGTCAAGTGGCTCAGAATTCCTGGGCAAAGGTAGGCAACTTGTGTCTCTGTGGCCTAAAACCAGACCCTCGCGGAGCGCTGCGAACAACTCCCACATCCGTCATGGAGGCCCTTCTGGGTCTGCTAGATTTCCACGTGAGAGAGCAGGTTACTCTGGCATCATTGCATCATCAATCGGAAGGTAAGCAAGAAAGTATGGCATTAACCCAGAGTATTAAGTACAACCCGTGATGCTTAACTCCCCTACATGATGAAGATGTTGCTGAAACATTACGCAATACGACATACTGATGGACTCTCTCTCTCAGAATTCTTATAAGTACCTTTGTATTTATTTATCCATCCACGTACAAAAATGTATCTAACAACTACGATCCTGGTAAATAAGAATGCCAAAAATTAACTATTTGTAAATTTGAGACGAGGTAGTTCGTAAATCTCCTCTGGTAAATGTTTCATGTAATTTTTACATCATTGTATGCAAAGAAAAGTTTCCGCCAAGAAAACAGTTAAAAGTCTTAAGAAAAATTTCAGGTAATATTTCTTACATTTAAGGAAGTCAATTTCACACGTCCGCGAATAACGCAACAAATTTCAACCAAATACTTACAAAGTGTATGAGACTCGGGCGCCGCCTCATTATCATTCCCAAATGTGACATCCAATAAAAGTAAAAATCCAATAAGCAATATATATTGACATTCATTAATTTGAATGCCATTTTTGCAAAATTCCACGCGCATCTCGCACTTAAAATAAACACATAAATAATAGAAATTCGTTCGCGTACTCGTTTAACCCATTTTTTTTTAATTAGAAAATCGCGTTCAGTTTCGCCCGTAGCACTTCATATACTGTTTACGAACTCGTACCTCTTCGCGCCAAAAACGCATTCTCGACTAAACGCATGTGACTTAAAGCGTGCGGGATAATCCGAGGAAACCCTAACATTAATTTTAAGTAGCAATTACTCCTACTCCAGTTTTTTTATAGCTAAATTTATTAATAGATTTATGCACATTTTGTAAATTGCAAATGGCTATTTCGAGATTGCCGACCTAAGATATTGATTTTATGATGATTGAAATATTAACTGACTAAACAGAAAATAGTCCAACTTATAGAAGTGGTAGTCGATTCTACGCAGTGTCACTAAATGTAAAAGGGTCTTATTACAGAAAATTAACCCCTTAAAGTTTGGAAGCGTTCGAAAGCTATACATACTCGCACTACTCCAGAACCTCTAAACGCTACTGCAGAATAAAATTCATTATCAATGAAATACGTCTCGAGACGTTAATATTTAATTGTGGCTCTTTACAATTTCGAATTGAATTGTAATTTTGGCAAGATTGCAACAGAAAAAATACCTTGTTAGGTTTCCATATTAAGCAATCTGTATGTGATTCGGTTGAAATTAGAGGAATATTGTTCTGAATACGAATTTTAAGGAAATCGAGAGCCATTGTCAATTAAATAGAAACAATTCGAAGAAAAAAGGATTAAAAAAATACAAAATTCTTGCTTACGATTAATTTTTGGCATTCGTAAGTATGAAACAGTTGAGTACAAGTTGTTGGAAACGAATTGGTTGAACATGTATAACAGAAGAGGGCTACATGCAGCATGTTTATATCACCAGATAATTACTACCAAAACTCCCTCGTACCTCGATAATAAAATACGGTTCTCATAACAACTTCATGATTTCTGTAGTTTACCTAACCATAAAGGTCGATTCTCACTAAGGCAGCGCGTCGCAGCGCAGCGCGGCGTGGGATAATGCTGCTTACAATTATATGCATACTATAAGGTCGCGCCGTTCTCATTTAAGCAGCGCGGCGCCGCGCTTCACGAAGCAGCAACATCGGAATTGCTTTGCGAGCATTGCAAACGCACTGCGCTGCTTGCTGACGCACAGATGTGAATCACAAAGCGTGTAGGAACTTGCAGAAATTGTCATTTAGTACTTCGAAATGGACGGTGACACAATTGAAAAATTAATTTCACTGGTCAATGAGTATCCTGAATTATACGATATGAGTAATAAAAATTACAGTAACCAAATCAGACGAGACAACATATGGTCAGAGATTGGAAGAAAAATTAATAAAAACGGTGAGTACCTGTACCTAATTTAAAAAATAAAACATGTCAAGCTAAACATACGCATGGTTTTATTGGCAAAAAATGTGATAAATGTATAAAAGCAATTGTTTACAATATTCCTGCGTTAACAGTGTCCATTTGCCAAGGAACGGTACCTGCAGCCGACGTAAAATATTTTGTAAAATCTTCTCTTAATTGCATCAGTATTTACCACCAATGTGAGGTAAATTTATAAAAATTGGACGTTCCTTTTCGGAGTTCTCTTCATCTAAAGCATTCAGAAAAACGTTGTCGCTTCGAAGAAAGTTATTGAGACATAAACTAGATAAAACAATTTTATCTACATTATTTGGATGAACTTGTATTTTATTCAAAAAAACTCGGAACTTTTGACAAAGAATGCCAAAAGCATTTTCTGACACTCTGCGCGCTCTAGAGAGCCGGTAATTGAATATCTTTTTGTCTTCAGAAAGTCCCCGACCTGGGTAAGGGCGCATTAGATAAGTTTTGCTAGGAAAGGCTTCATCTCCTACAATCACGAACGGTAACGGTTTTCCATTTTCTGTTATTGGCCGATCTTCGGGCATTCCAAACGTGTTATTTTGAAGGGCTTTTCCCATTCTAGAGTTATTAAATAATCCTCCATCACTATTTTTGCCATATCCTCCGACATCAACAGCAATAAATCTGTATTCAGGATCTACCATAGCTAATAATACTATAGAAAATGTTTTCTTGTAATTGAAAGACAAGGATCCACTTCCGGCAGGTGCTTGTATAGTGATGTGCTTTCCATCTATTGCAGCGACACAATTAGGGAAATTCCAAATGCTTTCAAATTTTTCAGCACAACTTATAAGGATGTCTTTCGTTGGCTGTGGCATAACAAAGTTGAACGATAATGTTTGAAAATCTGCTCAGGTTGCTAAGAATCTAAAAAGAAATTGCAATAAAATTGATTGAAAATGTAATTATTTAAGGTGATGTGTGCAAACAACGGTGGAAAACATTAAGGGATGGGTTTCAACGAGCTGCAAGAAGCCAAAAAACAAAAAGTGGACAGGCTGCAAAACCGACTAAAAAATGGAAATATTGGGACATATTGTCATTTCTTTTGCCGCATATCAAAGGAAGAGAGTATGTCTCATAACAGCAAATTTTTGTTTTTTAAAAATTTTTTTAGAACTCAGTCCAATATCAACCGCGTAGATGGCGACGAGGAAGAAGAATCGGAAGAAGATGGTAATGAAACCAGAAGCGAAGTGGATGAAAACCAGATTGAAGATGATGGAGAAGACGTTCCGAGTCCAAGAGACGATGTAATGAGTCCCACTTCTTATTCACAACCGAATACTCCACAATCTAATGCGTCAAGTGTCAAAAGTGTATCGACAGTTGCTAAAAGCAAAAAGCCTAACTGCAAGAAAGTAGATACATTGCCTGAAATACTAAAAGAATATATCAACGACAAGAAACGAAGTCGCTTAGAGAAATCGACGGCTCGGGCAGACGCAAAAGATAATTCGATTTTAGATTTTTTCATAAATATGGGCAAAACGGTTGCAACCTTTCCTCCTCTAGAGCAAGCTTCAATCAAAAGGCAGGTGTTTCAAATTGTAAATTCGTATGAATTACAGCTATTGGGTGGCACAACACCAACACAAAGTCTTTTTTACATGCAAAACCAACCATCCACTTCCTTTCACCCACCCAGTTCATATGTCCACAACCCACAATCCCAAGCTGCTTCTGCTTACTATGAAAAGTCTGGGTCTCATACACAAACATTAACAACTCAACAGTTTCCACCTGCAGCAGCGACAGAGCAGTCATTCCCATGTGTGACTCAGCAACAGGAAATACTACCACAGCAGACACTGTCTGGACTTCATCCCTATCCACCTTTACATTAATTTTATTGTTTTTGATGTTACGTTATATCCTAAGAATACACCTATGTTGTTTTTTTATGAATAGTGCCTTTGTGCAATACCTATTTGAAATAATAAAATTTTTGTCAACTTACCTCAGAAAAACCGTTAACCTTTCATGTGGACTTATACTTTGCCGAAATTTGGTATCTTGCTTGCTTAAAGGGACGCGAACAAGTTCTAGTAATTGATTAAACTTTTCTGGGCTCATTCTGTAATATTTATAGAACTTTTTTTCGTCATCCTGCAGCCTCTTGAAAAGCGTATGAAATTCACCTTCTTCCAGTCGGGCTCGAAATATGTCATGGACCCAATACTTTCGTTTTCTTTTATCTAATTGGTGTTGGTGGCAAACAGCAGTCACGAAGATTTCGTCTGATGAACTGGATGATGTGTCCTCTGCCGTGCACATTTTCACAAGGAAGACATAGAACTGCGAGTATTTTGATGCTCAAATGTGTATACCTACATTAAAATGCTGCATCGCCCTGCTCTGCTTCGTGCTGTGACGCGCTGCCTTAGTGAGAATCGACCTTAAATCGCAGCTATACAAGCGTACTTTTTCATATATAGCGAAGTATTATAATGAGTTACCTGGTTCGTTTAAAACCTTGGTCATTTTAAGCTACATGTACGCCATTTCCTAATTAGCAGACAGTAATTTACTCTTGAGATTAAGTGGTAGAACAGTCGCCTAATTTTGGCAAGACTGAACTTTGTCCCTTTGGACACTCCTTTTTTTTCTTTTTTAAATTGTTTTCTTGTTTTGTTATTATATATTATTGAGGTGGAAGTATGTCCAATAAATGGCTTATTATTATTAAGAAGCTGAAAATGAAATAGGTTTCGATAGTGAGCTATCTACATGTGATTATGTTGAAATTAAGAGTAATACGAAGAATGAACAATATAATAATTTATTTTGACGTTTATTGTTGTCATGGAAATACATTCGCGTGGGTAATTATGCTTAATTTTTCTTTTGATTCATTGAATATTCCTCCGAATACCATTCGTAGTCGAAGTATTTGTAGATTATTTTTGAGCTGCTGCTCCACTCATGCTAGTAACTAGCATTCGTGAGAGCACCTCAAAAATATTCGACAATACTTCGACTACTTATGGTATTATATACGAATATTTGTGTTACGCTATCTCATTGCGGACTTTATTTTTGATTTGATATTCGGTGTGAATACACCAGTGTTTCTTTTCGTAACGGAATTGATTTTTACGGTTATTACTAACCTCGTATCTTCTCAATGTCCTACGGGGAGAGCCCTGAGCTAGTTGGCAGTTCATGCGGAGGGTTTGAGGGAACGCAGCGCCAACTCTGCGTACCCGTTATATCTGCGTTAGCTTGACCCTGAAGTTAAGTAAAATGAATTATTTCCCCCCCCCCCCTCCTTTATGCTCGAGTTCAAATTATGCTGATATTTGAAGTTTTACGACTATACAAGACAATGGTACTTTGCCACGATCTTATTCTGCAAATTGGAAAAGAAGTGAGTAGATATCATAGGTTTTCCCTTTCTTGCAATCAATGAAGTCCCTAGAGCTATTCTAGTGTGACTAAGAGAGGGCAATTTTGATGTGATTTGTAATTAACGTATTTAATTAAATTTCACTCTCCCCATTTCTTGCATTTTATTTATGTTCGCCGATCCTTAGAGCGACACACACACATCCTAGATCAACTCGTTTCATAACACAACGTAGGTCATCTCACTAGACAGGTTTGTTACTTGGCGAACATGTGCCATGATTTTCAGTGAGATTTGGTGGGAGTTTTGATTTTTGGTTTCGAGTTGCACAATTGCTTTTCGGTTGGACTTGGGCTATTACACTACATTCACAAC